TACATGTATATGTGCATGTGTGTATGTATATGTCTATGTCAGCATGGACGCCAGCATGCGACCATCTATATTAGTTGTTGCTCGCCTTGTCGGATCCCGAACAAAGAAGATTTCTCCAGAGGCCTCCAACGGACCAAGAGTGCCCCAAGATGGCCCAAGCCCCACCCCACCGCCTCAAGAGGTCCTCAAGACTGCCCCACATATTTCCAAGACGGCCCTACCGCGCTCAAAGATGACACCACGACGACCCAGAGAGTCACCCAAGACGGCCTCCAAAGGCCATTCGAGGCACCAAAAGGAGGAGGAGGAGGAGGAGGAGGAGGAGGAGGAGGAGGAATAATAACAAGACGAACGCTAGTACTATTAATACTAGTTCTAAGACTCATACTACGAATCATAATGCGAATGATAATAATAACAATCATAATATTCAGAAGAAGAAGAAGGAGAAGAAGAGGATGATGATGATGATGATGATGAGGAAAGGCCCCAAGAGGCCTCCTCTTCCTCCCGCTCCTGCTCCTGCTCCTGCTCCTGCTCCTGCTCCTGCTGCTCCTCCTCCTCCTCCTCCTCCTCCTCCTCCTCCTCCTCCTCCTCCTCCTCCTCCTCCTCCTCCTCCTCCTCCCTCCGTAGCCATTTTGGCTCAAGTTTGCCTCCCCTCGTGCCGGTCGCCATTTGCCTCCTGGCCGCCACTGGCCCCCGCTCCAGCCAGTCCGGGTGCCTGCCGCTTGGGAGGCGTGGCGCGGGAGGGCGGGGGCCGCTGCCCGTCCGAGGCGCTCGCCGGGCGAGCGCAACGGGGTGCCCGCGAGGGGGCCTCGGGAGCCTCGAGACGGGGGTCAATGCAAACGGGGGTCAGCCAGGGCGCCAGATCCTGCAGGATCCTGCGAAGACCCCCTCTGGCTGACCCGGGTTAGGGAGCCGCTCGTGGCCGCGAGGCGGCCGCGCGTATTGGCTGACCCGGGTCTGCGAAGACCTGCGGTGCAGTTTTTTTGTCTTGCATTGCAGTTTTTGTTTTTTTGCTGACCCGGGTCTGGATTGACCCGGGTCAGAAGATCCCCGAGGGCCCGTCGCTGGGCCGCGGTCGGGCTGGCCAGATGGCTCGCCCGTGCCAAGGCGGAGCTGGACGCCGCTGTCCTCCTCCCTCTCCTCCTCCTCCTCCTCCTCCTCCTCCTCCTCCTCCTCCTCCTTCCCTCCTCCTCCTCCTCCTCCTCCTCCTCCTCCTCCTCCTCCTCCTCCTCCCTCCTCCTCCCTCTCCTCCTCCTCCTCCCCCTCCTCCTCCTCCTCCTCCTCCTCCTCCTCCTCCTCCTCCTTCCCGGAGGCGCTAGGCGGGCTTCTGGGCGGCGCGGAGGTGGCGGAGCAAAGGCGCGGCATCCTCCCAGCGCCGGCGGCACTGCTCGAGGGGCGCTCTCCTTGGTGGCTGCCGAGGCGGAGCAGGGACGTGGCGCTTCACTCTCTTGCGCCGGGCAGCGCCGCCATCGACACGGCGGGTGCGTCCAATCTTCGGAAGGCTCAGCACGGGCCTCGACTCGAGTCCAGAATCGGCGTCCTCGCGAAGCATGCCGCGCCCTTCGTGCCTGGCGGCGGGTACTGGTGCGGGCTGGCCGACGTGGATTCGTCGTTTCATCACTTGGCGGAGGAGCCCAACTTTGTCGCGGGAGCAGCTTCCGGACAGCAGTGCGTCCCTCACTTCATCGACGCAGCGGTGGGAACTCTGGCTGGCCTGCAGGTTTGGTTCCGTCAATCCACAAGCAAGGCCTCTGGGAGCCATTTTGCGAGTCCTGCGATCCTGGCCCTTCCCATCTCACGGTCGAGGAGCAGGAGGCGGAAAGGCTGTCTACGCAAGTCGCGCCCGCGCTGCGTCGAGGAGAGCCTGCGTGCTCCGATGGGCCCTTGTTGGGGTGCGCTGCCATGGTGCCACATGAAGGGTTATTGGTGCGCGCCGGCGTGGGCGCCTTTTCCGTCCAGCTGTGGTGGCACCGTCGTGGACGCGGAGTGCAAGACTGCCTCAGGCGATGGTGAGGGCTTCCACAGCGTGTTCTTCATGGTGGTGGCGTCCATCTTTCCGGCTGCGAGGGGGGGCCATCTGGAGACGTGCGCCGTCGTCCACGTGTTCCAGGCCATCGACGCTTTCATCATCCCGTCCTTCGTGGGGCGCACGTGTGCCTGTTGTTTTGTCTTCATCGCTGGGACCGACGGGTCGGACTCCGAAGCGCTCTGGTGCAGGGGTTGCGACGTGCTCATCTGCTCCCGGTACTGGCCTCCGAAGCTCGAGCAGCGGCTCGCCGCTGCGATGGATACGATGTGAAGTGCCTTCCCCGTGGGCTGCATGGCCCTGGTGTGGGACCATGGCCAGGAGCACTCGCTTTCCCTGTTCGGCATCGTCGGCGTCAGCTCTGACCCCGCGTGCCTCGTCAAGTTCACGGGGCGCGCGTGCCTGGAGTTCATCGTCTTCGGCGGGGTCGTGCACGGGAGGCGGGGAGGAGTGGTGCGGCGGCAGAACAAATCCTCGGTCCTCCTCCTCCCCGAGTTTTCCTCCATGGGTTCCCACCACGGCCGGGGAACGCACAGTCCGACAGCTTGGCCAAGCTCCGGCCCAACGCTGCGCCCCCCCCCCCACACCTCTGTCCTTCGAGCCTCTTCGGCCCTGCGCCCTCCTCTCCGAGCCACACCGGCAGAGGCATCGTGCGCTTGGATCTGTTCGACGCGTGGGCCCCCCCCCCTGGCCTCTTTCGTCCTCCTCCTCCTCCTTCCCCTCCTCCTCCTCCTCCTCCTCCTCCTCCTCCCTCCTCCTCCTCCTCCTCCTCCTCCTCCTCCTCCGTCTCCTCCTCTCCCTCCTCGTCTCCTCCTCCTCCTCCTCGTCCTCCTCCTCCTCCTCCGCCTCCTCCTCGGCCTCCCCTTCCTCCGCCTCCCCCTCCGCTTCCCCCTCCTCTTGCTGGAGGTCTTCTGGAGGCTCCTCCTTCTCCTCCTCCTCCTCCTCCTCCTCGGCCTCCCCTTCCTCCTTCTCCGCATCCCCCTCCGCCTCCCCTTCCTTCTCTTCCTCCACCCTCTCCTCCTCCGCCTCCTCCTCCCCCGCCTCCTCCTCCTCCTCCTCCTCCTCCTCGGCCTCCCCCTCCGCCTCCCCCTCCTCTTGCTGGAGGTCTCTGGAGGCTCCCGGAGGCAAAACGAAGGGCAAATATCACATTCCCCTGAGCAGATGTTGTCGCCCCCCAGCAGTTTGTTGGCGCCCCCGAAGCCAGGAGCCCGCCTCCAGAGGCCAGCAGTGGTGACGAAGCGGCCGCCGCCATCTGTTCGAGGCGATGTCAGGGTCCTCGAGCCTCCGAGATCTTGCCTCTTCGGGCTTTCTCGGCCCTGTGCCCTCCTCTTCGACCTTGCCCCCCCCCTCCCTCGAGCTGGAGCTTCTTGATCCAGCCCCCCCCCTCCTCGAGCTATCTGGATCCTGCCCGCCCGGGGCCCCAGGCCGTCGCCTCCGATGCAGCCGCTGCCGCCGCCGCTGCCGCCGCCGCTGCCGCTGCCGCCGCCGCTGCCGCTGCCGCCGCCGCTGCCGCCGCCGCCGCCGCTGCCGCCGCCGCTGCCGCCGCCGCCGCCGACCCAAACATCCGACGATCTGATTTGTTCAAACCGCGGGCGCAGAGCTCGTGACCCCTTTCCCAGAAGTTGGCCTGCCGTGGCCCCACAAGGGCCCGAGGCACGGCCCCCCGCGGTCGACCTCGAGGAGCCAATGGCCGGAGGGAGCCGCGCAGTCAGCTCGTCGGAGCTTTGGGGGTGCGGGCGCCGCCGCCGCCGCCGCCCCCGAGGCCAACCCCGCGGCCCCGGGCGCCGCCGCCCCGGACGCCGCCGCCCCCGCCCCCGGCCCCGACCTCCCCGGCGCCCTGCCGGAGCCGCACGCGCCGCCCGAGGCGCCGCCGCACCGGGGGCGGCCTCTGGCGGTCGTCTGTGGCGGCGCCGCCGCCGCCGTCGTCGAGGCCGTCGTTTTTTTTTTTTGTTGTTTTTGTTTTTGTTTTTCTTATTCCTCTGGCAAGGGCAGGGCGCCCCCCCGCCCCCAGACACGTCGACTGAGGACATCTGCGCGGCTTCGCTCGACAGTGGCACGCGAGGGTGCCGCGGTGCCGTCCGCGGCCAGCTTCGCCAGTTGACGTCCGGCTTGCTGGACGGATGCGGACCTGTTGGACGTCGATTAGCTACCCCGTTGGGGTGCAGTCGAAATGCGGTGCCGTGCCCCCGTGGAGTGCCCCTGGCAGCTTTCTCTGAAGGGCGTTTTGCTACAGGGTGTTCTGGCCACCCTACGATTCTTCGCCGCCGCCGTCGAGGTAGAGGTCGCCGTCCCCAGCCATGCTCGCGTCGGAATAGCAGTCATCACGCCGAAAGGTCCTTGTCCGTTTTGGGGCCTTTGGGGGCCTTCCCCGGGCCACCTTACCCTCAGAGATCGACTCGGGATAAAGAAATTGGCCCCATGGCAAGGACGTCCAGGACTTCCTGCGCGTGGCGGCCTCGCGGTCGTCCTCGTTCGGGCAGTGCCAAGGGGGTCACCAGTTCCTCCCGAGGATCGATAAGGTTTCAGGATCGAATGTCGAGGAGGGCTGGGGTCACCAGCTCCTCCTGACGATCGATAGAGGTTCGAAGGTCGAGGAGGGTTGGGGTCACCACTTGGGGGGGAGGGCACCAGTTCCTCCTGAGCATAGCGGTGCCAGAATCGAATGTCGAGGAGGGTTGGGGTCACCACTGGGGGGGGGGGGGTCACCAGTTCCTCCTGAAGATCGACAGATGTGCCAGGATCGAAGGTCGAGAAGGGCTGGGGTCACCGCCTGGGGGGGGGTCACCAGCTCCCCCCGAGGACCGAGATGCCAGGGTCGAGTGGCGAGGAGGGTTGTGAACGCTTGGGGTCGCTTTGGGGGGGTTCTTTGGAGAGCTCGTTTGGAGCCCCACTTCCTCGCGGATAGCTCTCGAGGGCGTGGCGCCCTCCCTCGTGGTGAGCCCCCGGTGAGTTTGCCTGGCTCGTCGCCGCCGTCGCCGCCGACGTCGAGGTCGCCTTCTTCGCCGCCGCCGCCGTCGAGGTCGTCGTCGTCGTCGCCGCCGCCGCCGCCGCCGCCGCCGGTTCGTCTTCGTCGGCTTCCTCTTTTTTGTCTCCGCCGCCGGCGCCGCCACCGTCGAGGTCGTCTTCGTCGTCGCCGCCGCCTCCGCCGTGGTCGTCGTCGTCGTCGTCGTCGTCGTCGCCGCCGCCGATCCGCCGGTGACAGAGCAGGGCTTCGCGAGGTCCAGCAGGGGCAAGCGGAGGGCGGGTGCCTCCGAATCCACGGCCGCAGCCCGGCGGTCCCCGGGGCAGCGTGGGGGATCCCTGGGGAGCGGGGGCATTGGGGCACAGTGGAGACCCATGCCATGAAACGCCCTGCTTGCCTCCAGGATTCCCCGTGTTTCTCGGGTTTCGATGGTTAGGAGGCAACTACTGGGAGGTTTTCGTCGGAGAAATTAAGGAGGATTAAGCCCCATTCGGGAGCTGTTACGCCGGAATGGGCCTCGGATTAAGCGGGATTAAGCTGGATTAAACGGGATTAAGCGGGATTAAGCCGGATTAAGCGGGATTAAGCCGGATTAAGCCGGTTTTCGGACCAGGGCAAAGTCAGAATTTAACCTCCCAGGAGTTGCATCCGAACGATGGTTTTGCAATGGAAAGCGTGACGTTCCCACACCAAAGATAATCAGTGGACGTCCTTGGGTGTCAGGGTTGGGTTTCTCTTGTGGAGGGTCTGTTGTGGACTGGCCTCCGCTGTACGTGCCCTCCCCACTTCGTTGCAGAGGGAGGTGGCGGAGGAGTACAGTCGACCCGCATTGTAATGAGGGGCACCCTTCCCAAGGGTATCCTTGCAACCTTGCCTCCTCGGTCCGTCCTTGGCCACTTCTGTCGGCCGCGACCCGTTCGAGAAGCTTCGACATGGGTGTCCAAGGCCCTTGCATCCTCATCGCGCCTCTTTCTGGTACGGGCCGACTGAGAGCTTGGAGAAACGAGCCGCCTCGGTTCGTGACAGCGACGATAGCGACGACGATGGCGTTGACGGCGGCAACGACGGCGGTATCGACGACGACGATGGCGGCCGCGGCGCCGGCGGCGACGACGACGATGGTTCCAACCATGACCACGACCTCGCCGTGCAGGGCACGGGTCCAGAGAGAGATGTCGGACAGGGCTAGGACGAGGATAAGTCCGTTCCAGAGCGTGCTGGAGCGTTCTCTGAGCGTTCTGGAACGCTCTCAAAAGGCCGCGGCGCCCGAGACATCCTCCAGAGCCGTCCGATCTCAGATATTCTCGTCTGAAAAGAGGTCCGCGTCCAAGGGGCTCTCCCCTACAGTGTTTTTTTTTAAGACATGCTCCGCGTGCGGACCATGTATTGAAAGTAAAGGGTTGATTCATAAATCCAAGGATGAGTTTATGCATTCATTTATTCATAGATGAACCATGTATAACATCCAATCATCAATTCGGATCATGTATCTTAAGCTCTTCAGCCCACGCCGTTCTTCCGACGATCCCAGGGCCCAGGCAGGGCACGGGGGCCCGAGAACGGCGACGTACGTTCAGGACCTCTTCCCGTCGTGCCCCCTGCCGTGTGTTCTGCCTCCCTCCTCCTCGTCCTGGCGGTGTCTCGCGATTCCGACGGCAGTGCGCTGTGCTTCGCAGTGGCAGCTGGTGTGGGATGTGCGCAGAACTGGTCGCTGGATATGTGTTCCGCGGAAAAAGAAGAAGGGGCCCTGGGACACACAAATAAATACACACAAATAAGACAATTCCCCAAACATTTCCCATATTTTCTGGGTTTCTGTCTTCCCCGCCACTTTCCATATTTTCCCATATTTGGGGGGAATCGACGATTAATTGTGTCTGTGTGTTTTTTCCCCTCCTGAAAAGAGAGGGACCTTCTTTTCTTCGGGCTGGCCAGCCGCGGCCGCGACCACGACCTCGAAGACGACCCCCCGCGGTGCCCACGGCGGCCAGCGACGCTGGCGAGGCCGCGTGCAGTCGCTGCCGCGGCCACGACCACGACGGAGCCGCGAGCCGCCGGCGGCGACGGCATCGCTCGGACGTGTGCATTTTTCCTTCGGCGAGAACCATCGAGGAGCATCCTTGATCACCTGGCGAAAAAAACACGCACGAAACCGAACAAAAACGCAGGGAATGGACGTCGGAGCGATGGCCAGCGGCGGCAGCGGCGGCACTTCGGGCCAGCGAGGAGGCCGCCGCGGCGCCCGCCGCGGCGCCCGCCGCGGCGCCCAGCGTCGGCCAGGTCCGGCGGCAGCAGGAGGCCTCCAGGCGCCGGCCGCCGATCTCGCCCCCTCTGCCGCCGACGGCGGCCCGGACTACACTGAAGTCGGGCCTGTCCCCCTACAGGGGGATTTTCGACGAAAAATAAACAAATACCCCAAAAATAATAAAAAAATGCTCCAACAATGGTCCGGGGACTATTTTTTTAGTATTTTCCGACCTTTTTGGATTATGTTTGGGGTATCTTT